ATATATAGCAATTTCCGCGATGTACAATATATATATATATATGAATTTTATGGAATATATTTCTCGCAAATCAATACTATTTTAAGAGTTCTATACAAATGATTTTAAATAAGATATAAGAGACAATAACTTGCCGCGTTATCACGATAAATAATTGAAAACCATATAAAGATGGCGTCGACGAATAAAGGTAGGTACTCGAAAGTATAATAGACAAAACGTATGACACACGATTAATTTTAGTTTCCGATTTTATTTGATGAAATTTTGGGATTAAATTCAGAGCCAAATTATAGGCTTACCGTATCGCGCCTTTATACATACATGGTTCAATACCTTCAGGTCGGCATCGTAAGGCAAAGTTTTGTCCCAGAGGTTGGGCCCAAGAAAGGCGGCCTGCGCTTCCACGTTGCCCCAAAGTTCACCGTCGGCATCCTTCTTTTCCTCTGGCCCATCTTTACCTTGTTTCCCTGCAAATTCAATTTTATTTGATTAGATAATGATACTCGTAATTTTTAATTATAGTTACAATTCTTTTAATTATATCGACAATTATCGTTACTAATAATATATAAAAGTATTAGATACAAGGTCTACTATTATATTGCGAGAAATTCGTTTTTGCGAATTGTACATGTATTGAGATGGCACGGAATTTACGACCGTTAAAAATAATTTTTCTTAACGATAATCTCAAACAGAAATACTAGAACAGAAATACTTCTATTGTCATGCGATCTATAAACTCGTTCACTTTTGTACAATGCACTTCTTTTTCCAAAACTTCTGGTATATAATATATAATACATTCTCTTATCATGGCAGAGTCATTGTATAATGTGTGACAATTTGCAATTTTATTCTACATCTTCCGCTTTTTTATATGTCTTTAGTATTTTTTTGTATAATCTCCTTAGACTTCACAAATTTATGCTAAAATATTATTGACGTAAAAAGTACACGAGTTTTTATCGTTTTTATACATTTAAATGTATAAAAAGACTTAAAATTTAACTAGAATTTTTACAAACTTTTTCTATTTTTATATGATGTTATACATTACTCAATTAATGACATCAAATTTTTTATTGTTATCGTTTATAATTGAAATTCTCACGTGGAAAAGAGAAAAGAAATAATATAAAGTACACAAAATATATACCAAATTTTAATAAATATTTATTTGAATTGCTCTAAATTAATATTTACTAAATATAAACATATTTATTACAAGAACCGTTGATTTGATTTAACTCTTATTTTTTGTTAACGAAATATTTATTTGTAAGTAAATGTTTATTATTAAAAAAATATATATTAAGATTTAGGAAATTTTTTCAGTATAGTTTGATGATACTCATTCAAAAATAGTAGGCAAAACACACAACACCACGAGAGTATTTTTATTTATCCCGCTAGTACTTTTTTTTATCTTTTTCTCCATGTCTATACGATGTTATTCTTTTAATGTATTATAAACGCTCATCAATTATTAGTTATAAATAGCAATTAATATTCAGCCACAAAATTGGTCGCGTAGGAATATGCATACTTTTGATCGAATAGATTATCGCGTGAGCATGTGCATCTTTTCTCCATGCTTCTGCATTATCAGATTTGACAAAATCGTTCAGCTATTTAGATTCGTGTTTCTACTTCGATAGCCGTCGAGTATGGGGAGTGTCGGGTCGACTGTCAAGGCTATGAGAACGTGCCTTGTCATGCTACGATGTTGGTTACTCGTTGTTGGTTATTAAGATATCGGATAGAAATAAAGATGATTATGATAATTATAATGATTGATGATGATGACGGTAATGATAATGATAAAAATTATATTTATGATGGTGACTGTAATGATAATGATCATGATAGCGACGACGACGATGACACAGGAAGATTATAATGATTAGCAACAATGTCTGATAGTAAATGTATTAAAATTAAACAGTTGCAAAAATAAGCGAGGTATACATAAAGCAATGAAATTTAGACTTTGGTTTGTATAGCTACTAAATTATCTCGGGTAGTTTCTTTTAAGAATATGTTCGGCATATTCAAGCCTTATAGCGTGTAAAATGTTATACCAAGGGCAACATAACTCTATTCGACAGTATGCTAATTTCGTCACTTCTCCACTTTTTCTTTTTTTTTACTTTGGTTTACAGAATATCGGCTTGGCAGTCCGCTCTCGCGCGAACGGTTTGTCGAGGTTTGCGGTTTCTGATGTGCCAACGCGTTCTATTCAACTATTGTTGCAGTCGTGCCTGTAAATTCAAGGCTGTACTCACAATACCGCGTCCTGTCTCGACAAATGTATTGAATATACATTTACGCAAAATCGCGGGATGGAATATACACGATCGGAGTCTCTCTCTCTCTCCCCCCCCTCTCTCTCTCTCTCTCTCTCTCTCTCTCTCGCGAAAAAACATCGCTAACAAGACTTTTTGGTAACGATAAGACGCGTGTGAACATCATGTACTATCGTGACTAAAAAATTTTAACAATATAATGCGTATGTATGTATAGTACAAAATAAAACGAATGTAGAAGGTATTCAATCGATTACTGGTTGACTAAAAATAATCGGCGTCTAAGTAGCGCCGATTAAAGGAGCGGAAAGTGAGATCGCGATCGAACCGCGCCTGCAGCGTCGCCTTAGGCGCTCCTGGCCGGGATTTCTCTATGGCTAAACAACTAAACAACGGCAGCCCGTAATTTGGTTCAAGGCTGCTCGTCGGCCGGCCGACTAACTCTGCGGAACTAATCTCGTGTTGCGAGGCGGTATTACCATCGGTATCGCCGAGAGAAACGGGCGGGGAGCAGCGTGTCTCGTTCGGATACGATGTAATCGGGCAGGGGGACACGGGGGATCTTCCTGATTTCATCCATTCATTCACCGAGAACTGCATTTCCGTACCCCCGCGTCTCTATCTCTCTCGCATTCGCCGCGTCCTCGTTTATCCCCCGTTTATTTACAATAGCCGGCCTTTGGAGACAGTCACTACTATACTCGCGGTACCGGAAACACGTGATTTCGACGCGAACTCGACACAAATAAAATTCTCTCTAGAATTCATACTTTTAATTTTTTTAATTTTTATAATTTTTATCTGAGCAATGTTTCTGGACAAATAAGAACCGAAAGAAAAGATTGGCTGAATATGGCATACCTATATCATTTTTAATTGGCAGCTGCGACTAAAAATTGACAGCTGCAGCTAATTAAATGCTACGCCGTATTTTACCATCTAATTTGCTGCGGTAGCCAATCTTTTCTTTCAATGTAACATTTAAGCAATTAATAATTAATTAATAGTTATTTAATGAGAGACTTATTTGAGTTTGATTCATTATACTATTAACTAGCTTTGTAATTCTATATTATAATTAATTACATCAATGAGTATAGTTTCTAGATTTGAGAGACCGCACTTGTCTATAGGCAAGAATTAATAGCGATTTGTACATTGATGCTCTACATTTTCAGGATAACAATAAAAATTATTAAAAAATGTTAAAAGCGACATTATTTAATTCCAGATAATTTGGATTGTATAAAAAATTATTATTGTTATATAAATAATAAAATAAACATAAATTAAAACATAATTTAAAAAAGAATCGCATTTGTGTATTTATTAAATATTTATGTAATAGTGGATTCGACAAATATAATAGATACCGTAAATTATTGACTGATTATTCCAAATGTAAATGATAATTACAACCAAAAATCTGTAAGTAGTCTATAGGGGTTTCGTTAACGTTACTAACGAAATGCGCAAATATGCAATATGGACTAGTTTTCAGGTGCATTTTGTTAATTGCACCAATAGATAAAAGTCATGAAGATAACGAAGTTAATTACGGTGGACGTAAATACGCTCATATCGCAGAAACGTGTTCCACTTTTTAACGGAACTATGGCTGAACTATTATTTATGTCGAAGAGTAACTGCAAAATATTTTTAACACGTTATTAGGCATGAAATGCCTACCTTGGACAACGAGTTTGGTTGCGTTAATTAGAATTCTGGTTGAAAATGAACAAAATTGAATCTTCTGATTGAATCTATTATAATTTCAGTTGAGATAATGAGAATTCTGATTGGTACGATCTTTTGATTTATTCATTTCTAATTGGAAATTTCTTCGATATTTTGATATGCGATGCATAAATAAAATAAAATAAAATCATAGAAATTATCCTAATAAAATACACAATTCTTTAATTTAAAGAGTGTGGCATTTCAATGTCGCAGACGACATTAAAAAAGAACTCTACTACATTTCTCGCAGCGGATCTCTTGGTAATTTGCGAAAATGATAGATCGGCTAATAAATCGTTGAGACTTAAACGCTGTTTAAATGTTGAAAACAATAAACTCGACGAACGCAAAACCTACGTTGTAGCACTTCGTTGTTTAGATAGTTGCCTTGGCAGCGTGCTCTTAAGATTACACTTAGGTGACAAAACCACAGACATCATCGCTATGGTGTACCGCACGTTCGTACCTGTCGACGTGAATTTATGGATCTTTGCAAATATGCATTACGTCATATTCGCAACTGGAAATCTTAATATCATTTCTCAACTTTTTTTTTCAAAGTTTCAACATTTTTTAAACAATTTCTCACGTTAGAACATTAACAAAACACTTGTAGAAACGCGTGCCAAAGATATATTCGATTGAATTCTGAAAGAGTTTCTTCTTTCGCCTTCATTCTTTTTCCTCAAAGTCACCGCTCCAATACCGCTAGTCATTTACGTAATCGACGACACGCGAACGTCTAGGCAGGTGAACACGCGAGGATGCCCCATGAATGCGTTTTTGGCACAACTCCTGCCGTTCTTCTCGAAACTCTCGATAATAACTGTAACCGACATCTAAATGCACGTCTCCGAAGAGCCAATTCATTTCACCTGCTCCATAAACAATAGCTCTGTTCTCAAACACTTCAGAAGATCAAGCTACATTCGTTATTATATAGATTCTCTTTGATCTGTCACTATATAGAGTTGTAAACTTTCAGTTAAAACTTGTAGTTGTATATACGAAACTAGAAATGTCGCTTATTCTGCAAGTGCAATTTTTCTCAATCACAATAGGGGCACAGTAGACCGTCGATAAACCTTCCTCGATCAATCGAATCTACGATACACAATGCTCGTGGGATAGGCCACTCCGTCCGAAATAACTATCGACCAAGGCCGCAGGAAACCTTCTCCAAACAAATGCGATTGTTTAGCTGTGCTATTGCTACCGCGACTCCATCGTTGCGATCTATTTCCGCGATTGAGATCGCGAGATCACCATAATATTCGTTTATAACACTGTATAGTTGTAATGTATCCCGATGGAGCAAATCAAACTTGGATGTTAAATTGTCGAGAAGCCTCGAAAAATTTTTACTTGCAATCAGAAATATTATTAAGTTTTTAAAGTGTATTTTGCATATACTGACA